GGATAGGCCTATTAAAAATAGTAAATATAGCTTGAGAGAAAAATGTGCAAACCTGCAAGTTTTGTTGTTGCTGGTGTTGCTGTTGTGCAATAAATGCCATCGCAGTGGCTATCGCCTGTTGCTGCTGATGCTGCTGTTGAACCTGAGCTGCTTGTTGCTGAAGTAGGGCATAAAGCTGCAACTGTTGATGTTGATGGTGCTGCTGTTCCTGTAAGGCCAAGGACTGCGCCGCGACTGCGGCTGTCGTTAAGTCCTGAACCGAGGCTCCAGTTGGCTGGGAACAGGGGGCGCCAGGAGCAGAGCCAGGGTTCAAGCCAGCCAGAAATTGGGCAACCTGAATCTGCTGTAGGGCAGCCAGGACTAGTGCATGTTGATGTTGTTGCTGCTGCTGCAGATGTTGGGCCTGAAGAAGACGTGCAGCATAGGCCAGCTGTCCGGGAGTGATCAGATGGTGGTTAGACGGGGGACCTGAGACCACCGACGCTGGGTCGTATGAGGCTGTGTATGCAGCAGATGATGGAGAGTTGACAATTTCACCGAGACTAGACAATCCCGTAAGACCAGCAGCCCTAGAAGAAACCACATGGTTGGATCCCGGAGTGCAAGATATACCAGTAAGCGCGTTTAGTGAAGCAGTAGCAGTAGAAGAGGCAGTGGTATCTGACCGACAGAGGCTTGATGACTGGGGCAATACCACGGAGGGCACTACAGCCGGGCCAGAACAGCTACTGTTCTGATAAAGAGCCGATGTAGTTAGTGTCTCTGTTGACATCTTAGTCAATGTCAAGTCTTTTTCTGTCGAAGCTCGCCGGATCCAGGCTGGCTTGCTGTTGGCAACAGAGCTAGGAACAGACGAATCTTCTATTTCCTTTGAGTTCCAAAAGTCAATAGGTGAAGTAGCAAAAGGCTGCGATTCAGTTGCTATAGATGTCTCCAATGTCGACTCATTAAGGGCAAGAAAGTCAGAAATGGGGGCAGATGTAAGTGCAGGGCTTGTTGATTTAACCAATGCGGTCGTTGAATTATCTGCTGATGCCAGTGGGTAATCACGGTATTTTGAATACAATGATACCGA